AACACTGAGGTCGCGGGTTCAAATTCCACCACATGCAATCCTAACAATATTACACATTTTTGCTCTTAAAAGCCCAATTTATATCGGGAAGAATTGTTAATAACATTATCCTTGTAATGTGAGTTTATGACATTTGATACGATACTAGGGTTCTGGTACTCGATTCCTAAAAATATCGTTTTAAAACTATCGAGTAGAATATATCGGTATCGAATGCCAAAAGTATCGATATGGTATCGTATCGTATCGAAATTCGTGTCCCTAATGACGATACACTTTAGATTTTTGACAACTAATGCATTCTTTTGACCAGATATTAATTTCTTTATTCATATTTGGCCAATAATACTTCTTTACTATTAAACGACGCGTAGCCTTAGTACCAGGATGCGCTATCCCATGTAAAATATTAAATACCGTTTTCCGCAAACTATTTGGAACGAAAGGTCTAGGATTTTCTCCTGACACTTCACAACAAATATGAAAATTTAAGAGGAGAATTTCAGTAAATTTAAGATTTTGAAATGCTTTTCCAGAAGTAAGTTTACCAAGCTCATCGTACTTTTGCTGTTCTCTTTGTAAAATTTTAAAATTAACTTCTGAATTTCTAATTGCATCTACTTCGAAAGCTCGAGATAAAGTGTCAGCTACCACATTTTCTTGTCCTTTAATGAACTGTATGTCATTAGTGAATTGTGCAATGAATTCCATATGTCTTGTTTGGCTTGGACTACGTTCAGTTTTAGAATTTAAAGCAAACATTAAAGGCTTGTGGTCTGTAAAAACTGTAAATTGCCGTCCTTCTAAAAGATAACGAAAATGTTTTATATTTAAGTAAATTGCCAATAATTCTCGGTCAAAAGTACTATATTTCATTTCTGTTGAAGAAAGTTTTTTTGAAAAGAAAGCAAGTGGTCAGACTTGTTACCAAAATGCTGCTGTATGACACCTCCAATTGCCGTATTAGATGCATCTACCATTAAAGATAATTTTGCATCTTTGTTAAAATGATTTAAGAAAAACTTAAGCTTAAAGCTTTAATCGACTTCTCATCCCAAACTAGAATCTTGTCTCGTTTTTTACTTGTTATATTAATCAAATCATAAATAACCCCAGTATACTCTGTTAATTTTGAAACATATCTATGATAGTAATTACCCATCATTTTTGTGTTTGCTTAATTGACTTTGGTCGTTCAAAATTTCTAATAGTTTCTACCCTATTTTCAGAAGGCTGTATTCCTGTCTCAGAAATGTTATGTCCTAAAAAATCAATATTCGTAACATCGAAAATACATTTGTTTGGTTTGATATTAAGACCGTACTCAGCTAAACGTTGAAAAATCACATGAAGATCCTTAATATGTTTTTCTTCATTTTCACTTGCAATAAGAAGATCATCAATATGCGCAAAGACAAATTCGAAATTGTTAACTACTTCATTGATGAACCTTTGAAACGTTTGTGCCGAATTTCTAAGTCCGAAAAGCATTCGGGTGAACTCAAACATGCCAAAAGGAGTAGTAATCGCTGTTTTATAAATATCTTCTTCTGCCATGGGAATTTGATGGTACGCTCTAACTAAATCTAATTTTGAAAATATTTTTTTGTTTCTAAGATTCATATTAAAATCATGCATATGAGGCAAGGGGTAACGATCCGGTACAGTCACAATATTAAGTCTTCTAAAATCACCGCAAGGACGCCAATCATTAACTTCTTTCTTTGGTACTAAATAAAGTGGAGACGCTACCGAGGAATTTGAAGGTCTACAAATTCCTGATTTAATTAAAAAATCAAACTCACGTTTAGCAACTTGATACTTTATGGGATCTAAGCGCCTTGGCTTAGAAAATGGAAGGTTTCCTACTGTATCAAGTCGATGTACCGTTGAAAGCCTAACAGGTTTGGAATAATCTGGCTCTACAATAAGTGATGGAAATTCTTTTAACAATTTTGTAATTTATTATCAACAGCAAAAATTTTTGGAAGAGGAACCGAACAAAATAAGGAAATCTTATTAACCAAAAGATTAGTAAGCGGATCTACTAATCGTTTGTGTCTAATATCAATTAAAAGACCGAATTTGCACAAAAAATCTGCACCTGTAATAGACTTCGCAATATCAGCTATTAAAAATGTGAATGAGAATTCCCGTCTTAATCCTAAATTAACATTTAAAAGCTTTTTTCCGAAGGTTGAAATTACTGAACCGTTAGCTGCCGCTAAAACAATATCCACAGATTTTTTTTGTACATCGAAATTTAGAAACCGGAAGTACTGAAATCTCAGCACCACTATAAATTAAAAAATTTAAATTGTTCTGTTTATCAAAAATAAAGAGGCGACGTGTAGAAAACTCTAAGTTTCCGTTGTTTGTCGCCGCAACAACAGATGATTTTAGTTTAGCAAATCCTTATTTTTAAAAAACGTAAAAGGTTGTTCACATTTCTTTGCGTTGCTACCGAATTTGTAATGATATTTACATAACCAATTTAGATTATCAAATGATTTCGAACGCCCTCTACAAGCACTTCTAAAACGATGTCTATTAGTCGAACGCGACCTAAAACTATTTTGGTGAATATTCTTTTTAATTTCACTTTACTCCATAGAAAGTTTTTGAAAATTTTCACACATAATTTCATTTGTTCTGACTAAATTCTCAATTACCAAATTTTCACATTTTGAATTCTGAAAATTACTTACTAATTAGCTAATTCTGATTTGTTAATTTGTTCCCAAATATTGTCTGCTAATTTCGTT